AAAAAAAAAAAGTAAGTAACAAGTAATAACTTTAGCTGCAACTACTAAGTTTGTTTTAGAACCGATGTAAAAACTATAAAGCACGTCAGCTACTAGATTGAGCCAATTGGTGCTTGTATTTGTTGTATATAATTGGCATTGCTATTTTGTGTATTTTTTAAAAATACACATTTTTGGGTTTACTAGACTTAACAAATTTTTTATAAGGGATTTTTGAGAACATGATTATATAAATGACACGCATTAAGTTTTTTTGTTTGTTTAATATTTATTTACATGTCTTATATACACGCTTAACAAAAAGAGATTGTATATTTAAGTTTGATTTTTATTAATAATTTTTTAAAGGATAAATTATTATTTTTAGTATGTAATTAATGTTTTTGGCGGGAAAGACTTACAAAAAATAATTTATTAAGTTAATTCTTATTATATATTCTAGCACGTACCACGGGCGATGCACGGGACAAAGATATTAAATGAGTAATTTTCACTGCCTTGTCCGTTTAATTCTAAAAAGTAATAATGTTGTTATCTATTTTCTACCCCTTTTAATCAACATTAAGTCTAAAAAATTATTAAGCCGCCCTCTGGTAAATATGTATGAAGTTATGTGTTTGTGTCTCATAAGTCACAAACATTATGAATAACATTACAAATTATTCATTCAAACTTTTATTCATTGCAAATATAATAAAATAGTTTATATAACAGCCAATAAATACCACTTTCAATATATTTATAAATAAAAAATACATAAAATTTATGGTGTGTTCAAATTTAAATAATTTTTTATGGGCTCAGTTTTAAATCATCCAGACATTTGGTCAAACTAAATCATTGACATTTTGGTCGGTTAAAATTTAAATCATCTGCCATGGTACTGTGATGTGTATTATATATATATATACAATTTTTTAACAAATAATATGTGCTTTATAAAAAATAATAATAAGAATTTCACAAGATTTTAAACGTGAAATTTAATTTTTAATCACAATAGAAAAATCATGGTAAGTTGTATTAAAAAGGTGGTATGAGATAAAATAATTAACTAAAATAATTAAATAAAATACTTGATGGAAATAGAATGAATTAATTACCTTTGACTTTTTTTACTACTAATTCTAGTAAATATAATATCTTTTTATATAAGTATAGATGTGCATGTAAGATTTTTAAACTATTTTGTAAAGAAAACATGTCTAAAAATAATTAAACTTAGGAGTTTTCAATACAAGACCTGAAAGATGGGTAAACTATCAATTCGGGGTCTGAAAACTTAACATGTGTTATGTATATGTGAGTATATATATATGTACATATAGATAGAATATGTAAAAAAATATGTTTAAACATTTTGTTTAAGTATCTAAAATATTATAAGTTTAAATAAAGACATTATCTCACGCTAAAGCTGTTTTAGAGAAGATTTATAAGATACCATAACTATGATGTTACTTCCATCTGAAGATTTGACTACACAATATTTCAAAAATTACTATTATTTTTTTAAGTTGTTACCATAAAAAGGAATTTTTACGCTTAACAACTTATCAATTTTACAAATACAAATTGAAATTAATGCAAATCAATTTTATAAATACAAACCGAGATTAATGCACACCAAAATATGTGACAAATAAAGAGTAATTTTATATGTAATTGAGATCAAAGACGAACACTGAAAACTGTTTCTATTAACATTTACAATGTTTATTTATTTTTTTTTTTTTTGCGAAATATTCTTTCTAAGTGTGATATATAAATATTAAAAATACTTAAAATATTTTATAACATCTATAAAAACATCTAAAATATTCTATATTATTCATAAATAATGTTTGAAGCCACCTAAATTTTTCTAAACTACCTGTAAGAAAACATGTTTAAAAATTCTTCATTTAACCTCCA